GCATTGTAGTCACCAAGAATGATGGTTGGCTCTGCTTGAGCGCAGGCCGGAAGATCAATATAATTTAACTTTCCTGCTGGAGCATATAGATTAAATACATTGAGAACAGAGTTGCCCACATAGATCCTCACTCCATGATACTGTTGACCGGCAGTTTGTTTTTCTGGCAGAAGTTGATGGGGTAGGGATTGTTTGATGTATAGAATGCAAGAGTTACTGGATCTGAGGTTGTAAGAAACAAATGAGGGCAATTTCGGGGGTGAGGATCTTGCGGGAACTCTGCACTCCTGGAGACATACAATATCGATGTGTTCAGTTGTTACTTTGTGATGTAAATCTGAGAACCTTTTTTTGAGGGACGCAATGTTCCAGCTAAGGACGGATAACTTAGTTAATTGTGCATTTAAAGTCAGCATTATATATTGATATTATTAGTTCACTTAATATTTATTATCTATATACATATTATCTATTGCACTACTGTATAAGTCCAGGAACATTTCTTAGTTTATTACCAATGTCACACATTTGCATCCAATGGTCTAGTACAATTTGTCTGTCATTTCCAGCTATAGAGTCGTTTTGAACATAGTTTAGCACAACTTTGGCAGTTAACTTGCGTGGAAGGGCTCCACTACACAAGGTTTCAAGATCACTAGAAGTTTCCCCTGATAGGCAAGCGAACACATGTTTGGAGGGTTCAGGGGTGGAAGGGGGAGTTTGGCAGTCATTGCTTACAAGTCCCCTCATACGCGTGAGCATCATCGAAATATCGCTGGTGGATTTTTTCTCATGTTGGAGTTGCTCTTGCAGCCGCTCCGTTTGCTGCTGTGACTGCTGCTGGTGTTCCTGCAACCGGTCACGAAGGGCAACCACTGCTTGAACAGTGGAGCGACCCAAGGGCGAGGTGGTAGGGAGGCTGAGGTTGCGATCTGTCTCATTTTGATCCAGTTCCTTATCCCCCACTTCCAGTTGACTGTGGGGTCCAGCTGTGGATGGTGGTCTCACAGTAGGTGACATTATCCCAGAACCAGGAAGTGGCCACTCTACATCAGGGGAAGGCCCACCACTGGCAGAAGATGCAGCACCTGGTTCTTGTGGGGGAGCTGGGATGATGGCACGAGTCTTCGGTCTGGTACCGGTCCCCTTGTGCACTTCGTAATTTAAAGGTGGTGAGTTTGGCAGCCAGCTGGAGCGAACATCACCTCCAGATGGCTCTGAACAGCGAGTGGGACTGATGGCAGCATTTGGCAACTGCTCTTCATGGTGGTGTGAAGGGTATGGCGAGTGTTGTGTCAACACCTCCGGGAGGCAGGTTCCTGGCACCTGACGGGCAGGCGCAGGTTGAACAGACACCTGTCGTCTGGCCCCGTGATGCACTTGGTGCTTGGCAGATGGTGAAGTATTTGGTATCCAGCTGCTACGAACACTACGTCCAGGTGGCTCTGCACAGGAATTAGAGCCGGCAGCTGTACCTGGCAACCGTCCTCCCGGGTGGGCGGGGCCGGGCACCTGGCCGTAAGCAGCTGGTCGCTTGACACAGTCAAGGTGCCAGGCTTGAACACCGCTCCTGCCACAGTTTATGCATTTTTCACTTACTGACTGCAGTTCCTTTATGAGTTTAAAACACACCTCAGATTTATGAGGTTCACCACACACGGCACAAAAAAAGTTTTTGCTTGTGCAGTACCTGGCTACGTGACGTCCCCATCGTTGACACTTATAACACCTACGAGGGGGAGGGTTGTAGAGGGCAATGTTATAGTGCCGACCTAAAGCTGCTCTAGAGTAAATTCTGTCCGGTATAGGCGTGGCACCTTTCCATGTGGCAGCTATGAGTCCATTTCTCAGACGTTTAGAGTTTACAATATTTTCATCACAAAGATATTCAGGCTTAATGAGTTTATTAACATTGAATATGACAATGCTTACTTTTGGACGCCTAGGTGCTGCATTTTTCATCTTAATGCCTGCATACTCTGTGTTTAGCAACACATTTACAAAAGCACTGTCGTTTGTAACGAAGACATAGTCACTTTCATCTCTAGGTAACTTAATGACCTTATCATAATGTGCACCAGAAGCTTCACAAAACCACTTCACTTTTCTCTCTACTGTGGTTCCCAGAGGAAAATCTAGCCGCACATGTCTGGCAGCAGCCGAATTTGGTGGGTTTGATCGTGCCCTTCTCAACTGCTTACGGCGCTGACTTTTACTCATTTGCACCGTGAATCCCTCATCATCTGCACCGCCTTCTGATGTGTCGTGGGGCACCACTGAGGAGGTGGCACCATCATTAGAAAACAATTGACGAGCGTGCGATGGGTCCACAAAGTCACTATCTGGCAACGGCGATGTGCTGCCCGGCACCTTATCCGGGGCAGTTGCCATGGCGTTAAAGACACAACACCTATATGCAGAGTATTACGGTACACTCGCTCCACAGTGAACCACAAAGCAGCACATCAGCAAATGGCCTATTCACAGGGTGGAAGGGGCCGCCAACCATCAAACAACATCAGCAGAAATAAATCGGCCAGCCTGCATATATGAGGCTCCACTATTTTCAAGGTCACAGCGCACCTTGCAGGTTGGCGCGGAAAAATTTGAAGTTGGTGGTACATGCATAAGTATCTGCTTAACAGATACTTAACACTCGACAAAAACTTGACATACACAGGCAACAAACCGTAGTACTTGAGAGCTGGCGGAGAGATGTGCAAGAAGCATGTTGATCATGAAGGTGTTCCTGGCACCATATCCTCATTCCCTGGCCGGGCGAGATGCTAGGCCTAACAGAGCGTGCCACACCAGTGCCCTTACACTTTGTATAGTCACACAGTTTTGTAATTAGTTTCTAACCACACTCAATCGTCACAGCACTATTTCACATCAACTAATGTAGAAGTGGGACAGTTAAGGCATGACTCAAAGTTTCTCCACTGAACTGTGGCTGCATTGTTTCGTGGTCACTAACGTCCTCGAATGAAGAACAAGGCAAACACGGCTCAGCGGTAGTATGACGCAAGAGCTATTGTCGTGTACCTGATACACGTGTGGTTTAGGCCCAACAGACGAGTGAGGAGGGGACGCCTGAGGCCTGATCAACAGCCTCCCCTCGCTCGTCAGCAACACGGCTACAAATGCCACTTGTAATTCACCAGTGCAGGTGATAACAAAGTTTCAGACACACCTGGTGTGTGTGTGTGTGTCCCAGATTGGTTATTAGGCTTCGTAACTGTCGGAGGTACAATTACACCCCCGATAACGAGTGCAAACGCAGGGGAGGACCCTCAAACGTCCATCCCCTACGCTGCCTATGACACGACTGTTATTATTCAACTTTTTTCTTTGCTTTCATTTTTACCTAGGTTACCTAGCCTCGCCTACTCCCTTACTCCATTGTACCCCCTTGAGGTTACCTTACCTTGAGGTGCTTCCGGGGCTTAGCGTCCCCGCGGCCCAGTCGTCGACCAGGCAGGCCTCTTAGTTGCCGGACTGATCAACCAAGCTGTTGAACGCGGCTGCTCGCAGCCTGACGTATAAGTCACAGCCTGGTGATCAGGTATCCTTTGGAGGTGCTTATCCAGTTCTCTCTTGAACACTGTGAGGGAATTGCCAGTTATGCCCCTTATGTGTAGCGGAAGCGTGTTGAACAGTCTCGGGCCTCTGATGTTGATAGAGTTCTCTTTCAGAGTACCTGTTGCACCTCTGCTCTTCAACGGGGGTATTCTGCACATCCTGCCATGCCTTCTGGTCTCATGTGATGTTATTTCTGTGTGCAGGTTTGGGACCAGCCCCTGGCTCTGCCTGTGTCTCAAAATGCAAATTATTACTTTCAGTGTACCTGAGAGTACTTGTAAGCAATCTACCTCATTTTTTTGTTTATTTCGTGTTTGTCTTGTATATGTTTATATTTTCCCCCCCTTTTATATCAATTTTTTTTTATTTTGTTATTGCCTTGTTTTCCTACAACCAGCCTTCTTATGCAAACAAGTATAGACCCAGAACTAAACCTCTTATCCACTATCTATGACAATCATCACTTTAATGATCAAAGTTGCAGATGTTTTACAGCACATGAGGTAAACAATGTATTAACACATAATCACAATATCTATGTAATTAACTTGAATGTAAGATCTCTAAGCAAACACTTTGATGATGTTAGTGCCTTGCTTGAAATTGTTGACAACAACTTCTCTTTTATTATACTTACTGAAACGTGGTTAAAAGAGGATACTACTCAACTCTTTAACGTGCCAAACTACTCAGCAATTCATAACTGTCGACCAATTCAGAGAGGTGGTGGTACTTCTCTTTACTACCATAAAGAACTGACATGCTTAAAAGTAATCAGAACTAGAGATTACTGTGGGGAGTATATCTTTGCCAGTTTCAGAGCCAAGGGTGCTGAGTCTGTCCTAACTGTGAGAGCAGTCTATAGAATTCCTAACACTGATGTGCCCGAATTAATTCTAACTTTAGAAATCCAACACTAGACAACAGACTGAACAAAAACCATCTAATTATCGCAGGGGACTTTAATATTGACCTCTGCGAGCCTGAAAACCCTCCTGCTGCTAGTTTCCTCAATGTATGAATTCCTGCTTCCTTATACCCTTAATCACTAGACCAACTACAATCACTGATAGTACTGCCTCTGCTCCTGACCACATCTGGACTAACATAACCTCTCCACTTACTTCAGGGATAATCATTGATAGGACCACAGACCATTACCCCTCATTTCTCCTAACCAACATTAATAAACCACCTCTAGGTACAAGGAAGATAAGCTTTAGGGTGCACAATGAAACTTCTATAAGCAACTTTATTGCTGCTGCTGCTAATATCAACTGGGAGGCTGAATTAGGTGACATAATGAACATCAACCTAGCAGTGTTCACTTCATCCATTTCTTAATTTCATCCATATCATCAATTTCATCATTTATTAATTTCATCCATTTCAGTGTTCATTTCATCCATTTCAATTAATTAATTATCCATTTCTTCAGAAAACTCTGAACCTTTATAACTCCCACTGTCCATTGCTAACAAAACAAATTACAAATGAAAGGTTAAACACTCCATGGCTTACAAAGGGTATACTTAAATCTATTATTAAAAAGCATGACCTTGAAAAGAAGTATAGGTTAGGAGTCGTCTCCAAAGAATTTTCAAAGATTTACTCATCCATGCTGTCTAAAATAATTAGAAGAGCCAAAATATAATACGACGTAAATAAATTTACCCAAATTAAGGGGCAACATTAAGAAAACATGGAGCACTATCTCCCAAATATTAGGTTCAAAAAAGATTTTGAATAAAAAACCAATTCTCCTATCCAATGACGATGGTGTGCTTTCGGCCTCAGACACTGCTGTCGAATTCAATAGGTTCTTTTTTTCCATTGAGACATCCCTTGCTCATGATATTCCATCCTCACTCAATAATATTAAAGACTACCTCACAGGTAACTATCCAGAGTCTCTGAACCTAGCTCCCGCTACTTCCTCTGATGTTAATGGGGTATTCCTTTCCTTTAAAACTAAGTCAAGTGCCCTTGATGAGATACCATCTCTAATTTACAAAAAAGCCTCGAGATTTCTAGCTCCTGCCAATGCATTGCTCTTCAACAAATTACTTGAACTCCAAACCTTTTCGGATATTCTAAAAAAAAAGCGAGAGTAACCCCAGTCCACAAATGTGGTGATCTCACTGATGTCAACAATTACAGACCTATCTCTATTCTGCCAAACTTGTCAAAAATATTTGAAAAGCTAATCTACGGGCAGCTTTATTCATATCTAGCCAAACTCAATATATTTAGCTCTTGCCAATATGGTTTCAGACCCAATAAAAGCACTAACGATGCACTTATTAGTATGATTAACTTGATACATACAGCTCTTGATAAAAATGAGTTCCCTGTTGGGTTATTTGTGGACCTACGTCAGGCTTTTGACACTGTCAACCACCCAAACCTTCTTCCTAAATTACATCATTATGGAGTCAGAGGTCACTTCCTGCAATACCTTCAGTCTTACCTTACTGAAAGGCTCCAGTATGTTTCTGTGAATAATTCCATTTCTCCTACACTACCCATAAACATTGGTGTTCCACAGGGCAGCATACTTGGCCCTCTCCTCTTTCTCATCTACATTAATGACCTTCTAAATGCCTCTTAACACTTCAAACCAATCTTATTTGCTGATGACACAACTTTCATTTTCTCCAGTCCTGACTCACTTGCTCTAAATGTCAATGTGAATACTGAACTATATAAAGTCCATCTTTGGCTAACTGCTAACAAACTCGCCCTTAACTCCCTAAACATGCTAAACATAATCTCACTCCACAAATTTTCTTGTGTCAACTACATTTACAAAACCCTATACTTAAATGCAAATCCTGCTTTGAAACTCTCCCTGGACAGATGTAATAGGACCCATTATCACCACACCAGAAATAAATATCTCTTTGATATCCCCAGAGTCAAACTTAATCTGTGTAAACACTCTATGCAAACAAAGGGACCCAGTCTATGGAACTCACTCCCTATTGAATTGAAAAGCTGTCCAACTTTAGCGTCATTCAAAAACATTACTAAAATAAAAACTAATTTCATCTTCATAGTTTTTACCTTTTGCTTTAAAATTGCACTTTATCTATTGCTACCCAATCTCCCAATCTTTATGTACCCAATCTGAACATCTTTATCATTGTGATCATTGCTGTCTTCTTATATGTTTTATTTTATTTTATTTTATTTTATTTTATTTATATATATACAAGAAGGTACATTGGGTTTGTGAGAATACATTGGATAGTACAGTAATTACATTCTTGTAAAGCCACTAGTACGCGCAGCGTTTCGGGCAGGTCCTTAATCTAGCAGATAATTTTAAGTAGGTAAGTTCAATCAGAATTGATAAATGAAAGATACATTACAAGAGAAAAATGAGATGAGAGAGATAAGTAAGTATATTAAAGCACATTGTTATATTAAAGCTCTGATTGATTACATTGACAGCTTGATTAGTAATTTAAACAAGATTAATAGACACCATACATACAGCTCGTAGACACGGAGGGTACTTGCAGTAGGGCGGGCTGTATGTTTAACAGACAGACACCCGCACACACACTGGCGCTGGCGATGAGTAAGGTGGTGACGTCACGTAGTAGTGAGGGCGGCGGGCGCCTCGAGGTACTGAGGTACTGGGGTACTGGGGTACACGCTCGTGGCGGCTGGCTGTGATACCATGCAGGTACACTTGTGGTAAAGTCACACACACAAGTTACTTAGGCAGTGGCACTGCCTTAGTTCACTCTAAGTCACTCACAACGATCTTTGTCACCAGGGATTACCTGATACCAGTCTGTTTCGCTCTGGAGATTTGTCACTTTAGGCTTCTGAATAATATATTCACACTCGTGATTCTGGGCGAGTGTATCGTATAATCTTCAGACGCTGAGTTAACTTGACGGTGAGGAATGGACGGTTGTTCAGTCTATTGGCCGATAGACAGAACAGGACACGTCCTCTAGGTTTGGTATCCCTCATGTGAATGGTTTTTGAAGGGGTGCCGGGCATCTCGTGGCACATAACACAAAAAGAGTTACAATTTGACCAATAACATTGCAGCAATTGGGCGGGAACCAATCATATTAGCTCGTTCGATGAGCAGTAGGAGAGGTGACGTCATGAGCACGTCACGAACACATCATAGCTGCTATTGTCCATCGCGCCGGTTGACCCCAGAGGTCAGACGCTGCTAACGTCTCCCCTCTGTCCCACGCTCCACCACCGATGTACTCCCTGACCCTTTGGTGGCAAGTATGCTCAACTCCCTGTATCTACTTCCTGCCTAGACATACGGCGGCCTCCGTATTATAAAAGTGTTCCTGGTTAAGTGAGCATTCTGGAGATACCCAACATGCCAGGTCACTATCCAGGGTTAGTGACAACTATCCAGGGTTAGTGACAGAAATAGGACCTTGTGCACAAGATCGGTGCACTGTGCACAGCAATGAGCCATTCCAGTCAGCTGTGGGAGAATCTTGAGAGACACTCTCTCACAGTGCTTTAACATACTTACTAATCTCTCTCATCTCATTTTTTTTTGCAATGTATTTGTTATCATTTTATTAATTTTGATAGAATTTACATACTTAAAATTATCTGTTAGATTAAGGACCTGCCCGAAACGCTGCGCGTACTAGTGGCTTTACAAGAGTGTAAATACTGTATTATGCTATGTATTCTCACAAACCCAATGTACCTTCTTATATATAAATAAATAAATAAAATAAATAAATAATGGTCTGCTTTCAGCCTCTGACACTGCTCTTGAGTTCAATAGGTTCTTCTCTTCCATTGGGTCATCCCTTGCAAATGATATTCCATCGTCCAGTACTAATATTCAGGACTATCTTTCAGGAAACTATCCACAGTCTCTGTACCTAATGCCTACTCATTCCACTGATGTTACTGACATAATCCTTTCCCTTAAAACCAAGTCTAGTGCCCTTGAGGAGATACCAACTCTTATTTACAAAAAAAACCTCCAGATCTTTAGCTCCTGCCATTGCATTGCTCTTCAACAAGTCAATTGAACTCCAAACCTTTCCAGATATTCTAAAAAAAAAGCGAGAGTAACCCCTGTCCACAAATGTGGTGATCCCACTGATGTTAACAACTTCAGACCTATATCAATTCTGCCAAACTTATAAAAAATATTTGAAAAACTAATCTATTAGCAGCTTTACTCTTATCTAGCCAAACTCAATATACTTAGCTCTTGTCAATATGGCTTCAAACCCGCAAAAAAACACTAACGATGCACTTATTAGTATGATTAACATGATACATACAGCTCTTGATATAAATGAGTTCCCTCTTGGGTTATTTGTAGACCTGCGTAAGGCTTTTGATACTGTTAACCACCAAAACCTTCTTCTTAAATTACAACATTATGGAGTCAGAGGTCACTCCCTGCAGAACATTAAGTCTTATCTTACTGACAGGCTCCAGTATGTTTCTGTGAATAATTCAATTTCTCCCACCCTACCCATCAACATTGGTGTTCCCCAGGGCAGCATACTTGGCCCTCTCCTCTTTCTCATCTACATTAATGACCTTCCAAATGCCTCCCAACATCTCAAACCAATTCTATTTGCTGACGATACGACCTTCATTTACTTCAGTCCTGACCCCTCTGCTCTAAATGTCACAGTGAATACTGAGCTAAATAAAGTTCATCCTTGGCTAACTGCCAACAAACTCACCCTCAATATTGACAAAACTTTCTATATTTTGTTTGGCAATAAATCTTCAAATCAAATAAATCTCAGGATAAATAATACAGAAATTTGTAACAAAATAGTTGGCAAATTCCTTGGCGTTCTCATTGACCACAAACTGAATTTCCAGGGACACATTCTAAATATATATAAAAAGTTTCAAAAACTGTTGGCATTCTTTCTAAAATCAGATATTATGTACCTCGCCTTGCCCTGGTGATGCTCTGTTACTCCCTTATCTATCCTTATCTCAATTATGGTATTTGTGCTTGGGCTTCTACTATCCAAAAGCATTTACGTCCTCTAAATACTCAACACAAAACTGCTATTAAGACAATATCCATCTCTGGCCCCAGACAGCACTCGGTACCCCTACTCAAATCTCTGAATATGTTAGATATTAAGGCACTGCACATCCTCACATCCTTAAAAGCTTCATTGAAAGTTGTAACAGAACCCATGAGCACCACACCAGAAACAAATACCTTTTTGATATTCCAAGAGTACGACTTAATTAAACTAGAAATGCTCTTCAAATCAAGGGACCTAGAATGTGGAATGACCTTACCAATCATGTTGAAGACTGTGCCTCTCTCAACCAGTTTAAGATAAAAACTAAACACTACCTAATGTAATGTCGATGTTATAAATTTGCTTACTGTTATGGGGGGTATAGAGTATTAAAGAGAAGGGCCAAAAGCTAGAATCAGGGTGTATCAAAATTAGTGGAGATCAGATAGGCCCGGCCCCCAATAAGAACATAATACAATATTAATTTAGTGGCTTAAGGTCAATGTGTCAGCCTAGAGGTTTGATTACTGATCCCCTACACAGGAAGAATGGATACTCCTTTAAAACTAACTTATTTATTAACCCCTCTTAACAGTCCCCTATATACATTAACAATAATAACAATAACTACTCTACCACACTATCTTACGTTAAAAGCCTTGGTCCACATAAGCAGGATACAAGGTTTTACAATTAGGACAAGCTAGGGTAAAGTCTACTTGTAAAGAACTCTAAAGCTTGCAGCAGCTTGGGGTAGTGAGCCCCACGTGGTACCCTATCACAACACAAACACTTAGGGATGCCCAAAACACTGGCTTATACTACACAAATCTCACAAGCCTAGCTAGTAGCACGGTAACACAGGTTTTGTACTTATCTTAGTATTGTATAGACGCTTAAGGTAAGGGAAGGGAGAAAGAGGAGGAGAATCGAGGCAGAGGCCCACTGAAAGATGTTGTCACCACACAGCGAGAACAAAGAAGGACGAGGGAGCCTCCAGTCTGAGCTCTCTCCAGTTGTTGTTGCCGGGAAAACAATCACTGATCGTGCAGCTTATAAACATTACATATCTTTACTGACGTACAATACTGTTTACTTTACTAGTTCTAAGTTTAGTTAATAATTAGTTCACTTATAATTAATCAACAACATGCTCAAGAGTGAATGCTGTGTGAGAAACAAGATTCGTCTTACGTTTGGCAAGGGTGACGGGAATAAGGCATACGGTTTTAAAGAGCACTGATATAAATATTATTTTAATTAAATATCCTCCTCACATGATCCAATTTTATGAATTAATGTATATTAATTATTTAGAGCTCAAATTGACCTGGTTTCCATCTAAGGAACCCAGGGTGGTAACACTCCTCCCCCCGTCAAAGAGAAAAAAAAATGTGGCTACTAGAATAGTAGTCATATTTTTTGTAAGAGCGTACAGAGAATAGAAAGGAAACTCTATGCCATAAAAGGAAATCAATCAAAAACAAAAATTTCTCTGAAAGGAAAAGCACACAAAAATAAATTTTCTGAAAGAAAAAGCACATCCAAACAAAAAAAAGAAAAATGGGGAAGTAAATAAAATTGACACGGAATATTAAATGTCACAGGAGAACCTAAAAAAAAAAAATAACTAAATCATGACAGTTAGTATATGGCTTCCTGTGGCTCAGATAAATCTTACTCAGGTAACCGGGACAGAGCGTCGGCTATCACGTTGAGCCGGCCCGGTAGGTGGGTAATGAAAAGATTGAAGTCCTGTAGGTACAATGCCTACCTGAGGATGCGTTTATTTTTCGCCTTCATCTGGTTTAAGAACACTAGTGGGTTATGGTCCTTGTACACTTCCACTATATTACCTGTGAGGTATACTTCAAACTTTTTACATGTTAACACAAGCGCCAACGCCTCTTTTTCTACCACTTAATAATTGCATTGCGCCTTGTCAAATTTCACAGAGTAATAGTATACTGGGTGGTCCACTTGATCATCCCCAGTTTGCACCAGCACCCGAGTCAGACGCGTCAACATGAATTTTGAGCAGTCGGTCGAACTTTGGACTTGCAAGCACTGGGGCGGAAGCTAAGATCGATTTCAAATTTTTAAACGCCTCTGCACAGTCTGTTGACCACTTAAATTTAACGGCCTTCTGTAACAAGTTTGTGAGAGCACTGGAAAAGTTCTGACAAAAGCGTCGGTAGTATGCATACATACCGATAAACCAGGGGTCATTTGCAGGGGTCCGCGATCTTTATGACCAAAGACTAACTCAAAAGGAGAACAACCCAGTGAACTCTGTAACCCCTTTTGGGCAGCAAACAAAACATAAGGCAAGTTCTCATCCCAGAAGTTGTGGGAACTCTCACACGATGTCTTCAACATCTGCTTCAGAGTTAGATGGAACCGCTCAATTACCCCCCTGACTCTGTGGATGGTATTGTCTGGAAACCTTATGAGCTATTCCATGGTCCTTACAGAATTGTTCAAAAATATCAGATTAAAATTAGTACCATTGTCAGTTTGCACAACCCGAGGCAATCCAAAAGTAGAAAAAACTGCAACATACGAGCAACAACAGTCTTTGCTCGGATGTTCCTTACAGCAAAAGCCTCAGGGTAACGGGTCGTGATACACATCATCGTAATTAGGTAAATATTACCAGACTTAGTTCTAGGTAATGGACCAGCACAGTCCATTACCACATGAGAAAATGGTTCCTTCGGCACGACAATAGGTGCAGAGGAGCTTAAGGTGGTGTCTGGTTAGGTTTCCCAACAAGCTGACAAGGAATACATGAGTTACAAAATTTTGCCACATCGCTTTTCAGCTTGGGCCAAAGAAGTATTAAAAGATTTTATGATAAGTAATATTAATACCTTGATGTCCCCCCATAGGATCATCATGAGCAGCTGCCAAAACTTTCTCCCTATAGCATGTAGACAACATAACCTGGTGGACTACCTCCCATCCATTTGACAAGGGAGAACTCTGTGGCCTCCATTTTCTCATCAAAATCTGATCATTGTAATAGTACCCAGTTGCTGCATCTACAATCTCCTCCTTAGAGTGAGCTACCTCGTGACATTCTGCAAGACTGAGGTCAGCTTTCTGTAAATCACTCAAGGAGGCGTCCATGCCTCGATCAGATGCCATTGGCTGAGGCTCAACAGTGTTTTCCTCCTCTTCCTCACTGCTCTCGGTTGGAGGCGATGGTAGGCTCTCCACAATGCCCTCCGCCTTGTCATCGAGTCGGGCCATGAACCTGTCCGCAAGGTCCACTTGGCTTACACCACTCGGAAAGTTCCTCGTGTCCTCGGGATTTACCACCTTGGCAACCACAGGGCTGTCCTTACATTTAAGTCCCATAGACCTGGTCACCGCGCACACAGGGTACACAACATTATCCTCTGCGTCGGGTAGATCCAGGGAAACCTTAGTGGTAGGCAACATAATAGGCAGTCTGGAGTCCCCTACCTTATCCCCTGGTAAACCATTACCCAATATTACATCAACGTTAGGGAAAGATAGGTATGAAGTGACTCCGACTGTACAAACACCCTTGTGGAAATCAGATTCCAGAGTAACCCTACGGAGGGGTACTGCTCGAGTATCACTAGTGACACCCTCGACCAGTATTACCTCTCCAGTGTCGAGAGTGTTGGCACGTTGCAAAGCACTCTCCAAGATTAAGGTCTGGATTGCACCGGTGTCTCGGAAGATCACCACGTCCTTCCAGGAAGAACCCTCAGACAACAACAGTCTCCCTTCCGATAAGAATGGGGTAAACAGGTCTAACCACTGTGGGTTGGAGATCTTACTCCCTAGTCCTTCAGAAGGCCCCAAGCCCTGTGTCACAACAAGAGCATTGGGTCTTTTTTCCGGGTGCAGTTGCCAACAACGGCTAGTAGTGTGGTTTGCACGTTTACAGTGCAAACCACACAAATCACAGACTCGTCGGGGAGAATAGACATTACTAACAGGATTGCCCTTTGGTTCACCCTTAGGTGCCATGGGGCTAGACAATTTAACAGGGTTAGTTATGTCTGAAACAGAAGGTGCATTAGTTATAGTGTTAGATTGGGCTGGTCTGGACTGGCTGTGGGTATAAGTTTTGTTACTTTGTGGGCTATAATTATTTTTATTCAGGCTTTTGCCCACCAACTGGTAGTTTTCTGCCATCTTGGGCAAATCCATAATATTTATTATTTATTTATTTATTTATTTATTTATTTATTTATTTATACAAAATGAAGGTACATTGGGTTTGTGAGAATACATAGCATAGTATATACAATCTTGTAAAGCCACTAGTATGCGCAGCGTTTCGGGCAGATCCTTAATCTAACAGATAATTTTTTTAGTAGGTAAATTCTAGCAGAATTAATAAAATGATAACAAATACATTGCAAGAAAAAAATGAGATGAGAGAGATTAGTAAGTATATTAAAGCACATTGGTATAATAAAGGTCTGATTGATTACATTGACAGCTTGATTGGTAATTTAAACAAGATTAATAGATACCATACAGCAGATTGATAGCACATATAAGAAGACAGCAATAATCACAATGGTAAAGATGTTCTGATTGGGTACATAAAGATTGGGAGATTGGGTAGCAATAGATACAGTGCAATTTTAAAGCAAAAGGTAAAAAACTATGAAGATGAAATTAGGTACTTTTTAGTATTGTTTTTGAATGACGCTAAAGTTGGACAGCTTTTCAATTCAATAGGGAGTGAGTTCCATAGACTGGGTCCCTTTATTTGCATAGAGTGTTTACACAGATTAAGTTTGACTCTGGGGATATCTAAGAGATATTTATTTCTGGTGTGGTGATAATGGGTCCTATTACATCTGTCCAGGGAGAGTTTCAGAGCAGCATTTGCATTTAAGAACAGGGTTTTGTAAATGTAGTTGACACAAGAGAATTTGTGGAGTGAGATTATGTTTAGCATGTTTAGGGAGTTAAACAAGGGGGCTGAGTGTTGTCTGAAAGCAGAATTTGTTATTATTCTGATAGCAGATTTTTACTGGGTGGTGATGAACTTGAGGTGGTTTGCAGTGGTTGAACCCCATGCACAGATACCATAATGAAGATAGGGATTGATTAGTGCAATCTCCTTAATCTCCAATCTCCTTAGCCAATCACAGGCGAGCTTGTATGCCCTGTAGGAAGGCTTCCAAGATGGCCGCCTGCGCTGCTATGGTAACAGAGTGGGCAATGGTTGGCGGGTTACCTCCTCACGGCGCAACTCGTTATCGCACTTTCGTATAGTCAATATTGACTTATTAAATACGTGCATGTGTGACATACTAATTTATTGTGAATATTTTAGTTTACCTTGAAAAGCTTCATAGAAAACACCGACCCTACCTAACCTTCTTAGTATGTTAAGATAAGCATCTTATTGCTTCGTAATTATAATTATTACTTAACCTATTATAGATATATCTACTTAACCTATATCTATTATAGATATAGGTTAAGTAATAATTGTAATTACGAAGCAATCAGATGCTTATCTTAACATACTAAGAAGGTTAGGTAGGGTCAGTGTTTTCTATGAAGCTTTTCAAGGTAAACTAAAATATTCACAATAAATTAGTATGTCACATATGCACTTATTTAATAAGTCAATATTGACTGTAAAAAAGTGCGAGAGCGGGTTGCAGAACTACCTAATAAATTCAATACAATCTACCTTTGCTATCAGAATAATAACTAACTCTGCTTTCAGACAACACTCAGCTCCCTTGTTTAAATCCCTAAACTTGCTAAATATTAACTCTCTCCACACATTCTCTTGTGTCAACTATATTTACAAAACCCTGTTCTTCAATGCAAACCATTCTCTGAAACTCTCCCTGGACAGATGTAATAGGGCCCATTATCACCACACCAGAAATAAATATCTCTTTGATATCCCCAGGGTCAAACTTAATCTGTGTAAACATTCTATGCAAATTAAGGGACCTAGTCTATGGAACTCACTCCCTAGTGAATTGTAAAACTGTAAAACTTTTGCCTTATTTAAAAGCAAAACAAAAAAGTACCTAATTTCATCTGCTTAGTTTCCTACACTGAGCTTTAAATTTGCTCTGTACCTAGTGTTACCCAATCTCCTAATTTTTATGTATTTAACCCAAACAACCTTATCATTGTATTCATTGCTGTCTTCTTTTATGTGCTAGCCATATGCTGTATTGTGCCTACCAATTTTTGTCAACTACCATTCAAGCTGTCATTGCAATCAATCTTAGCTACCTATGTGCATTATTATACTGTACCTACAATTTTCTCTCATCTTTTTTATTTTCTTGCTATGTAACTGTTATCATTTTTTTTTTTTATAAATTTTGCAAGTATTTACCTACTTAAAATTTTCTTAGATTATAAGGACCTGCCCGAAACGCTGCGCGTACTAATGGCTTTACAAGATTGTAATTACCATATTATGTATCCATATTATATTTTATATATCATATCCATGTATATTTTCCCAATGTGCCTTCTTGTATATGCATAAATAAATAAATAAATAAATAAATAAATAAATAAATAAATAAATAAATAAATAAATAAATAAATAAATAAATAAATAAATAAATAAATAAATAAATAACCTTACCCTGTCAATGCCAACCCATGTCTTGCTATTTTCAAACAATACTGTTTATTGATCAACTTGTATTACTGCTGCTTTCCGCTATGTTCCTCGCCGGCCTTTTTTTTCCTGTTTCAACTCAATTTACTTTAATCTCAATTAATATTAAGTTTTAGTCCGAGTGGAGTTTTTTTCCAACACCTTGCCCGAAATGCTGTGCGTATTAGTTGCTTTAAGCATTGTATGCACTAGGTCTATCAATAAATGCAACATTATGTTTGTAACTCATCTTGTATGTATGTATGTACTTTTACCTGAATAAGCATTTGATTTGATTAGCGTTATTTTGAAGGACCACTTTTTTTGTACGAGTCTCCCCTCGCCAAAGTTCCTTTTTCTTAGATTTTGTTACAGAGAAAACGGGGCAGCAAAAGCCTTTAACCTGCTCCCCGGCCGTGCACCTAGCGACTATCACACAAAACTATACATTTAGTTTAAAAAATAATTAATATATTAACACCTTTATACATTCATTAAAATTTTTATAAAATTACATAAGATTAATTAATTTCATTTGAATTCATTAAATTTTCTATTAAATTCTACATAACCAGTTAAAGCTAATACACGCTCGAACGCTCATCCGCTCCTGACGACCCTGCTGCCCCTCCAACTTTATCAGCTGCTCCTTGAGCCCACAACATCCCTAACATGATGTAACAACCCCAGAAGGCAGCTAAGTACCCAGTGACCTAAATGTGACCGAAATATTCGACAAAACCTAACCTACTAGCTCATCTCGACCTCATTAGTGTTGCTCCCTGGAGGAAGCTAACCTGACGTTTGCTGCTGCCATATCAACGAGTCTACCCCATCTGCTGCATACATCTCTGCTGCTACCATGCCAAACAATTCTAAGCTCGGCAAGGCCGTAAAGAATGATAGCACACCTATCAGGATGAACCCAACCAGCCAAGCTAGCAACAGGAATAATGCGGCTGTCTCCCCCTTAGGGGCTACCGGGGGGAGTACCGACCCTCCCTGCGTCAACAATAACAAACCTTCCCAGCTGATTGAAGCGTCGTCACTGACTCGAGCCTTACAACAGTTATGTAACCATATGGAGCAACTTAAACGAGCTGCCTCCCCATGTACTGACTTTAAGCGTCTCGCTGATAATCCATGGCTCAGATTATTGACTCAAATACATGACGACCAAAAGTCTATAATCCGAGAGCAGTCGGACCTGATAATGAAGCTTCAGAGTGATGCTTTGGCCATGCACAAGATTAACCAAGATCTGTCTGCCAGAGTCGGCCACCTCGAACAGGAATTAAGCTCTCTTCAGATCTCGGTTACTAACTTTAAACCAGCAGAAACCTCTAAGAAGCAAGAAGAGATGCTACAAAAGTTAGAGAACCATTTTAACTCCCTACAACAGCAACACACTGCAACCCAAGACGAATCAGACCAACTTAAGCTCCTTGATTCTGTCATCATCTCATCACAGGATTTTCCCCATGAAACTGACAGAGAAGACTGTACTGCCATCGTGATCCAGGAATTGCGTACTAAGTTGAATTATTCAATCGAAGCAAGAGACATTAAGTCAGCTTATAGAGTGGGTGCCAAATCATCTGGTACAAACAACAGAA